AAATTTGCCAAGATAAATTCGCCCTTTTGACAAGGTACATGGCTTGCTGTACTTTATATATTGCAAATTAATGGGAATGTTTATATATGTTTCTTAAGTTTTCCAAAGGATCCATGTAATCCTTTTCAACCATTTTGATAGATAAAAATAGCCTATTTGTGACCGAGACTAAATTATTATTGCACATTCATATAATCACACGGTCTTTGGCCTTTTACTATAATATAATAAACAGGACAGAAACGGTCTGTTTATTATTTTTTATATGTTTATTACTGTTATAGAAAAGTCTGTATGGTTTCAGTCTTTTTGCCCGTTTTGCTAGGACAACAAAGGCAACGAGTGCTTAGAGGTTCGTCGACAAAATAGATCCTAACGATACAGCGCCGCCGCCTGCAGCTGCCGGTAGCAGCATCAAAGTAACAAGGAAATTCTCCCGTTCGCTGTTTTCCTGTCTTTTTGTCTCTTTTTTCTTTCTCTGCCTGAAACCGCTGCTCATCTTTGTCTCTCGCCGTAGTTCGTTTTCCTTGGTTCGTCTTGCTACCGGATTCCTGAACACTTACACCGACATTGAACGGCCATCAGCACCGCAATGGGGCTTCAGCCTAAAATGCGTGAAGCCTCCAGCATCAGTAACATCTTCTGTTCTAGCTACTGCTTGGAGCGTAAAGCGCCAGACACCACGCATCAGCAGCGTTGCGACTGGTTCGGGATGGGGACAGGCTGCAGTCCTAAACGCTTGTTCTACTTCACTGCCCCCCACCCCACCCCACCCCAGACCCGCAGCAAAGGGAACCCCAATTTCCACCGCCCCCACTGCCAACTCCTGCGCGGCAAACTGCCAGCTAGCGGCCAGTGGGGTTGTTTCGTTTATTTCGTTCTTCTTTGAGGATTTAGACAACGGCTCTAGTCTCCTTGTTTCCTGTTATTTGCCCTCGGGCTTACAGCCGGGAGACTTCTTGGCAAACGATGAACACGACGACTGGCAGAACCTTACGGAAAGCTAGAGGGGAGGGGAACTGCAACTGCTAGGAACGCAGTGGGGGCTAGGCATGCGGAGCGAAGACAAGGGAAAAATGCTGCCCCCTCAATCCATTGGATATAAAGCAAATTGTAAAAAACCAAAAAAAAAACTGTGCAGAGTGGAATGGAAGCTGGACAACGAACGCCGACGAGAGAAATATGAGAAAAACTTCCTATTGCATTATTCTATAGACCTTATCTTTCGATAATGTAAAGATCTGATTATGCTTGAAGCGTTCACTATCGACAAGGGTTTTAACCTATATTAGGTATTCATTAGTGATCCCAGTACTTACTCGCTAAGATAAAGGTATTAGTTAAATTGTGAAGGTAAAATTGGCTTTTTTAGTTACTTTCTGTGTACGTTCAGCTAGCCTGGGAAAAGGTCAAGCAAAGCAAGAGTGGCACGTCTGTAACTGTTTGACTTGACCTCGCACCGGCGATGAAATTTCAGCTGCGGCTAGACTTTCTCTAGAGGCAAGGTCGATTAACTTCATTGCCTAGCCGTCTTTTTTCTTTTTGGTTTGAACTCAGGCAGGCGCGTGCCCTTAACTAGCGGAAAGTTAGTTAGACTACTTTCTGCAGTGTTTCTTCACTGTAGTCCTCCCCCATCCACCTACACACACCCACAAAAAGCCGACCTAAAATAGCGACTTTGAAGGCTTCGGAGACCATTGTCGTAATTTTCGTGCCTCTCTGTTCGTACTAGCATACATAGCTGCTGGATTGGAACGGCTCAAAATCGGCGGTAGCCGATTCTTTGGTAAAGTTCGAAGTTCGAAGCTAGCCTCCATTGTCCCCCTTCAACAGAGAAATCGCCGGCTCAGCTGAACCGATTCATAGTGAGCCAGCGAGCGAGTAGAGAGCAACGGTACGGTGTGCGTTCCAGTAAAGATTTCATGGTCACTTTCATAAAAATCATCGGCGAGGCTGGTCATCAGCTCACCATGAGCTTACAACTCGCGGAGGGGAACGAGAATATACTATGTGTCCATTCTCTATTAGAGTGCCGATAAGGCTGACAGTGGGGGTGGATCTGCCACTTGGGTTGTATTAGTGGCTTTTATGTCCTTCTTTTTCTTGGCTCGTTCGAGCTCGTTCTGATAGGCAGCGTCGGCAACTTGAAGGTCCCGACCGGTTGTCTCGAACGGCCGGTTAACTCCCGTCAGTTTGGTTCAGTTTTGATAGGTTGACCTACAGTTGGCGTCCACCGGTCGATAGTATAGATCCAGTCCGTTACTGGCTTCTCTGCTGAGCTAACGAAGTGTCCAGGGTGCCTCGATAATTCGATAGTTCGAAACTTCGATAGAGTATCGAAACAGGAGTTCGAGACAAGCATAATCGTGCGGGAAAGCGGGGGCTCGGTAAGGAAGTATGTATGTGTGCGCGTGTGAAACAGAGAGAGAGAGAGAGAGAGGGGGGGAGAGAGAGAGAAAGTATATGTGTATCCGCACTGCATAAGCACAGACCTTGTCTGGCCACCGGGCAACTTCAAACTATGATTTCGAATACACAGGAGAACGGCTGATCTGTGGGGGTGGTTGCTAGACTGCTGGACTAGGTGCTGGTGAAACGCCACGACGAGACATTGGTTGCAGGAATACAGAGTCAAGCCTCGCACGAAACAGAGCGATGTGGCGAAGCAGGTCAACAACGAAAAAAAAAGAGAGAGCTAGGTTTAACAGCCCACGGTTTCAGCTTCTTCTTTGTCTTCTCCTCTTCGTCCATGAAGCGCTAGCTGGTTAAGGCTGGCTCGCCTAGTTTCGCTAGTGCAATACTGGTTTGGCACGATGATACGAACATGTGTCCATTTATATCTGAGATATCGAACGATCGAAGTGCATGAACATATGCATATATCTATGGCCGGCGGAAGAGCCAAAGCAAAGTAAGCAGCCTGGTCTACTTTGTCGTTGAACTATCGACCAGTGACATGCTCTGCCTCTATTTTCGGTCAGCTACGAAATGGGATAGTGGCAATGAGGGACGCGGTTCGCCTCCTCGAATCGGTTGCTTCTTGTCATGCTCTAGCCTTGCAGGAGTCGAAATTGTCGGCGAAGTCGCCAGCAGTCGGTTTGAGTTATCTTGCTGTTTGGGCGTATAGGTTTTGGGAAGGGTAACGATAAGTGCTTTAGGAACCATCCGCCGAGGATATTGCGGCCAAGAGACATAAATCTGAGGATTTGGTGGCGGGACTGCTAGCTTCACTAACCATGATTTCGTCGTTACCCGTTTCGTTAATGGGGAGAAAAAAAAGTAAACGAAGTGGGTCGCTTTTGAGACTATATGAACAGTTTCCAAAGAAGGGGCTCCAGAGCTACAGGGCAAGTGCTATCGATATTGATCTGCAAAGTAATTTGGGTCAAAATAGATGCTAGTATGTAATGGTCTGCAATGGCTAAGTTTTTGACGTACGCTATTATGACTCGTTAAAGGTCTAGATAAAAAAGCTGTTGATTCAAACTCCGCGACCCAGTATGATTAAATAAATAAATTATAGCATTGGCTACGCATCGAAATCCAGCGAATAGCATTCATAAAGCACGTTGCCTTCTTATCGGTAGAGACACATTACAAGATAAAGCGTAATGCACAAAGTAAATGTTCTTCTATGAAAGTAGAAATGGGGACTGGCTTCACAAAAGTATCACTTTCTCGTTATAGAGAAACCTCCAAACTTGGCGAAGCACTTCCCGTTCAAAAACTACTTCAGCGAACAAACTTGTTTGTTCGAAAAACGACAGTAATGTCGAAAGAATCCGACTCAATGGTGGGTCGCCTTTCGGCGTTATCGTGCCTAACCACAACAAAGCACTGCTGCTGTATGTATCCAAATAGCCATAGCTTACCGTTCAGCATCCGACCGGGCGCATGGGTGTGAGGTGTAGATAACCCCACGGCGATCAGCTGATGGCAGCTATCAGGGGCAAAGCGTCTAGCAGGTGTTTTTGAGAGAAGCGAAGTAAAGTGCGACGAGCGTCCAACTACTGATCTATCTACTATCGATTCTCAGTACAGCAACTATACAGGTAATTGTACATAGCCAGTAATCGCTAACCATGACACACGAACTTAACGATGCCGACGACAAGAAACTAAACATGCGGCAAGAGCAATTCGAATGACGAAGTAACAGTAGAGCAGTAGAACACTCATAGGCGCCAAACTGAACGCCAAAGGCTGAATAGTTGCGTCCAAGTGTCCGAATAGCTATGAGAATAAGCAACTGTTCATCCGAACAGGCAGCGCAGGAAGCATAATCCATAATGCACCTGTCTGTTTGTTAGAGCTGCTAAGATTGCGGTCCAGCTATTGAAGGGGCATGGGTGAACAGGGGTCACAGCGGGGCTTGGTGCTCTGTTATGAGATTTTTTGCTACATTTCCTATGGCGTCGGAGCAGTCTGATAGCATACTCGCTTTCTTGCCTCTGAGCACAGCTAACGAAAGAGCTACAAACACCTACGCGCGGTTCTAGATCTAGCCGTACACACTGCGATGGGATGGAGGAGCGGGTTGTCGGGTCTAACAAATAAGGGACAAGGTGTCGGGCTTACATCGATGGGGCCATAGAGGTTTAGTGCGCTGCCCTATGATCCAAGTCTGTCTTTTGTTAAGCTGTAGACTGGCAACAGGAAATACCATAAAGCAAGAAGAAAAGTTAGTTTCTGCGAAGTGAGTTTGTACAACGTAACACGACGTACTAGTCGTCACTGTGGTGACAGCGGGGTTCGTAGCAGTGTTCCCTCTGTACGATGCCATCTTCTTAACGGCCATACAACAAATGGCTAACCCGGACTAGGTTGCAAATGGGCCCGGTTCCAAGACAATAGAATCTTTAGCAATCGTAGGTAATCCGCCATAGGTCGAAACTTGCTATACTGAAGTACTATTGATAGATACAAAATGCGTATGTATCATAGAGAGCATATTTTGCGGTAACTGTAAGTTTAAACCCATGACTTTCGCGTCATTTTAGAGTCGGAATGTACTGGAGGAGGCGTGTGCTCCAGCGAGCCTGTGTCAGTACGTAGCCCTTGTCCACCAGCAACTCCCATATCGGATGCGGCCACTGATGACGATGACGACCCCAGCGTCCGAGGTGCGTATTTTTGTTTAGAACTATTGTCGTGTCATAGGACTGCCTTTTGTAATAAAAGAAAAGATAGAGAAAAGCACGTCTGTCGACAATATCGGCTTCAACGGCAATTGATTTTATTTGATTCACAATGAAGCTACGTAGTTGTCAGTAAAAAGAACACCTCACTGAATTAACAAGTCGATTTTTAGCCCGTTGTGCCAGATGTGAGTTGTACGTTTATAGATGAGTCGACATCTAACTTCGAGCTGATCTGATCCGCTGTGCGGGAAAGCGCCGGCGTGCACACTTCCAGAAGGTCCTTATAGAACACTAAAATATCGTTTAGACAGCTACTTCTCGCCTCCTGTAATGACTACGTGTAACATACTTATTTGCGAGACCTAGCAATACGATTAAGTTCAAAACTAGGCGTAAACATACCCCGTTTCAGACCAACCGTCCGAAACAGTGTCTAGCGGACGACAAAATCGATACATTAGACATTAGTTTTATCTTTTTTTTTTATATTACCATTTATATCGATTATTCGATCATTTTTGATGCGTATATAAATTAAGAATTCACTCAAGTTCAAGCAAGACGCATTCCGTTAATCCGATGCCCAGTGTAAATACGTTCTCCCAAAGGTTGCTATACGAGCTTCGGTGAGATTGGCAATTTACGGTGGACGACTTGTCAGCCACATCTATAAACCTATATACGTTCCCTCTGCAGCGATATCATATACCTGTCAAGTGTTCGTAGCTTCCATTAGTGTATAATGACAATACAATACTACATACAGAGTCTCAGCTATGACATACAGTATTGATGTCTGCTATACTAATAAAGATCTGTGGAACTCGCCCTGTTGGATCGTCTTCGCCTAAGAAAGGAAAGCCCTGCTTACTACTAGTTGCTTAGGGCCCACCCGTACCTTTTAGTGGGTTATTTTGATTTACGCTGACATTGACTATATCTAATAGAAATGCGAAACGTGAAGCGGGAGCCTTTTTGTGTGTAGAGATCTGTAGGAAGAGTGCTATGTCCTTTCGAAGGTGGCTCCATATTGTCTCTGCCTATTCATGCGGTCTTCCCGCTCTTCTACGGAGCTCGTCGAAGCAGACGACTATAGAGACCCGAGGCCTGAATAGCGCACACGGACTTTTTGCAGTTCGGCTACATAACTCGTGCATGTGCATTCCCCGTTCCTCCGAGAGTTCAGCCTATAATTAGCAAAAAATTTCTCGCATAAACCTATTTGCCTACCCAGTAAAATTCCTGCTTTTCAATAAGAAAGGCCAGTCAAGTCGAAAGAGCCTAGAATGAAAATCCTGCATAGCTCGTGCCTTCTCCTTCGGGCACATGGAAACGTTTACATATACGTATGTCATCCTCGTTATTAAAACGTATTCGGTGATGACATGGACAGCTTTGAAAGAATCCTAATGTAACCTATGTATTGCACCTGCTGATGTCGGATGTAAGTAAAAGGTGATGAGCCAATTAAGCACTACTTGCCCGTCGAGATGTTTCACATGCTTCTCTTATTGTAATACTAAATGTTGCTCTGTTTCATTGATTTTTACTTGAATGTCCTTTATGTGATCAGACCACTATTATTAGGCCAGCGTCATCATCTGACTTGTATGGCAGGATCTCGCTTCCAAACGAAAGGTCATTGTTTTGAGTATCACGGTACCGCATTGACAATGGGTCATAAAAGAACTGATAGGAGAAGACCTCTTGACCTTAGCTGTTCGAGAGAATCTAGCAAAGCTTTATGGACGGTTCGAAGGCCTAGTTACGTACAAGCTTTTTTTAAGCAATGTATATATATACATAAATACAGGGTGTCTTAGTAAGAAAATATGCAGATTGAATGACTACAACATCAGTTTTGTTTACTAAATTGTAAGATAGTTTATATTCAGTGTGCATCCTTTCTTTCTGAGACTAGATGTTCAAAAATATCATTTTTTACTTAATACACTGCTGGGTAATAATGATGGACTCATGATTCACAAACTCGATTGGGGCTTTTAAACCTACTGGGGCTATTGGCGTTTGGTCTGAACAACGGACGTGGTGTTTTATGGCATCTTTTCGTTCGGTCTATTTGTTTGAAAAGTTCTTATCAGAATATATTTTTGCATCAAGATGATACTATGCAGGAACTCCGTCCTGTTGGAAATCGAATTTGTCATCTTAACCAAAGTCCTCCCAAAAGGTTGGCGAAGTTGATCCATGCAACGGATTCTAGTCGTGACCATCAGCGACTGTACCGTCCAAAAAAGAATGTACAAGTAAATTAGAGTGCATAGAACAACCCGTATATATGTATATAGGTAGGTGCTCAGGTCGCTCCGGTGATTTAATAAGTAATGTTATTTTCCCTTGCGCAAAAAGTTAAAAACGTAAATTAAACAGATGCCACTTCGTCATTTTTTCTGTTAGACCATGGGTAATGAGAGAAGCATCATATCACATTAGTGCGGTCTTCTTAACAAAAATTTAGTCAAAGGCTATTTTTGTTTGTAGTTACGGGAATGAAGAGCCGCAAAGACCTATTACTGCTTATAACTGAGCTATTATGTTTGTTGTGGACGTTCACACATTTGTTATTTTTTTACACATATATCACGCTGAATATATTACAAAATGAAAAAACAACACTTTTACTACACTTAACAATAGTATCACGATTGTTGAAGTTCTATCGAACGGTTTCACTTGCCTGAATGATTCTTCCTATTGATGAGCCAGAAATCATTCGTCGACAATGTTTTTGAAGATCAGCAGATATACTCAAAACCTCGAAGGAAGAGAACGAAAGATTTCTCAAGATTGTGGCCATCCAGATGCCCTCTGTATTGGCTTATCGCAGCGCATTCTGTGAGCTTCGTTCCCCTGTAGAGAATGAGCTAAATCGACCGGTCGTCGACTATTTTTTCCTGGACAATTAGGGGAAAGGAGTATGGTCGCTTCGAGCTTTCGGGAAAAGCAATCAATCGATGTAGAATGCAGGCCCGAATTACAAACAAAAGTGAAAATAGCGGGTGCATTGATGAGAGAGCATCTACGAGTATGAGTCGATTTAGTACTCAAAGATGTTTAATGCGTTAATAGACTTGCGTGAGGAGTCCCTGTTTTCTCAGCCAGTCCCATGTATAGTGTGCCTGTTCATCCAAGTGTGCCTCTAAATGCTCCGATCGCTGATACTATCTGTTTGGTGGTCTCGGCAGAACGGAACGGTTGACAGAACCTTTCTATTTTCCTCTTTAAACTGGCGAGTATCTGGAAGAAAAGAAACGATGTGGCATTTACCATCGCTTCTATAAGAAGGGTGCTTCGTACTCGAGAACAATTAGTGCTGCTAGTAACGATCATAGATATTAGGTAACGGTTCATACCAGTAGGGCTGCCAAAAAAAATAACACTTTTTAAATGAAACGCCAAGCTAGTGTAATCCGCGTCAACGATCAATTTACCTTGGTACCCTTATTGCTCTGAAAAAAAATGGCCCAGTGCTCTTTCGTTTCACGCAACAAACAAACATTAATGATAAACGTGCAAAAAAAAGGTGAGATACTAATTTCACGAAGGTTCGGCTGGGGTGATTTAAGTAAGTCAACTACATATACGTACATTTTAAACAACCCATTGATGTTATGTAGTCTCACTTAAAGTTTGATGACGCTGCAGTCCGTTAAATAACTCCAAATTTAGATGTTTTTTAATTACATTTATTAATGTATCGGAGGATAGTCTACGAAAAGGAGATGTCGCTACTTGCAGATGACCAGTCAACAGTTTCCTCTCTGTCCGGTCTCGTCGGGGTGCGTCGCCGAGGACGATGCAAGTGGTTCAACGTGGCGAAAGGATGGGGATTCATATCCTCCCTTGACGAGGGTCCCGATGTCTTTGTGCACCAAGTAAGTTTGCGTTGTTTCTTCATTCTAATTGCCTCTGTCGTTTGAGTTATGGGTTTTTATTATATATGAGGTTTACTCTTTTAGCATTTTTCCTTGTTTACCGATCATTAGCATTTTTCTCGACAAATCGACCAAAATTTCTATCTATTCATCAAATTAGTCCTGCGTTTGTTTTCTATTTCACATCAACATAAAGAGTCCTAAATCTGTAAGATCACCTAGCTATATGCATTGTATATGTAATACAACTTGATGCGAATACAAACAAGTGAAACTTTGCTTTGCCTCTATCCGAGTAGACATTGCAAAATCTTGCTGAAAGATGACACTTTGTTATGTTATAGCGGCTGTCGCCAACGTCACGGCTGTGTCGCCCTCTATTGTTTGCGAGACACAGTTCAAGAAGCGTTTTCCCGCTGACTCAGTTCATTTCAATTCTGACTTTCAAGAGTGAAACGTGTCCAGAGTGCTGAATCCTTCTCTCGCCGTCGCTCAGCACTTACCCAAACCGGCTTAGCTCCTTTCCGTTCCCCCATGCACCCCTTTTTTTCTTCGCTTCTCTATCGTCCACTAAACCACTTAAATGGTTGAAGTTCTTGCAGGGGCATGCTGGGAAACCAGCCAGCCTTCTACTCTGCCTTCCGAAACAGACGGCTCTAGGTTGCTCTCGCTTCCTCTACCGCCTTGCCACTTCTGTCATCTAAAGAAAGAATTTGGAGTAGGAGCACAACTTGTATGCCTGAAACAAGCGTACATTCTGCATCGTAGTTCAACTTCTCGGACGAAAACCCTAGACCGGCCGTTGTAACCGCGGTCACTCTTTTGAGTTTTAAGAGGCATAGACAAGAGGTTGCTTCCAATATTTAGCTCAAAGGAAACCTTAGTTGGAACTACTGAATGGATGTCCCTATGTTAGGTTGCCATGACAACCAGCATAGTAGCCAACCCCCTAAGAGCTCTAAGATATGTCTGAATGAGAGGGACAGAAAAAGGGCAGTCGGAAGAGCATTGAAAGAGACTTCAAAGGGCAAGCCGAGAGCCTCCTACTGCGTACGAGAGGTCCAAGGAAAACTCGAAGGTTGGTTTTAACAGAGGAGGTGCCGACCAAAAGCCGCTAAAGCAAATTAGCGCCTTTCAGTGTAGAAATAATGAGAATATATCTTCAGAAAAGCTAAAATTGTATGACATACGTGGGGCATGAGAGAAAATTATGTCTTTGTAGTAACATCGGAAATATAGGCACTCTGCACTAAAAGGTCAACGATGGCAGTCGCATACTAGGATCGGTATTTAGCTCGTATTCTTACTGAGCTGTTTTCAGTGGAGGTATTGGATCTTTTGTAGTTTCTGACTCTGGCTGCGCAAGACCGGGAGACTAGAAGCTTCTCAAGGAAACAGGGATAATTTTTCGAAAACGATTGTCCCACAGATATATATTGTGTGAACTATTAACTTATCGGATATTTAAGAACTTTTTTTTAGAACGTTACACAGGCACTTCTATATAGCGATTGTGGACTTTTCCAAAAAATGATCGCGTTATGAGTTACTTCAATAAAAACAATAGTCTCGTGCACATGGCCTACCCTCTTTCCATAGGAAGTTCTCTAACCCAAAATAAAATCCCCATAACATATGCCAATTTCTGCCTTGAGTGCTCAGCGAATTAATCAACTGGAGCAACAGTTACTTTTGTCGATGGTTTATCTGAATTTCAACATCCACTAATGTCAGATGTTATACAATGACAGCGGCGGTATAGATACATGTGGCGCGTTTATGCTACCAAACATACCTTTCTACTATATGGCGCCATCTGCTAGTCTAAATAGTAGCGATGGCAGCGCACTACGCGACTTACCGTGATACCAATAGGTCTAGAAGTACGACGCATCGTTTTTCGCTGAAGCACTTCGTAGATTCAAGGCAGCATCTCTAAGCTGCCCGCCTGCCAAATTTCTACCGCTCAGTCTTTACAGGCATCGGTATAGGGGCGGTAGACATCTTCTTCCTGTATGCTTCTCTTTCATTCGCAAAAAAGGAAATAGAGGCCAACGAACGGAGGCATCGGAGCCGTTGCCGACTGGGGCGGCAACGCGAGCTCAAAGACGAGTTCACAAAAGACGACAAATGGGACCTGCTAAGTCAGCAGCAGCAGCTAAAGCGACGATCGTCGAGGGACCTAGGTAGCGACCGACACTAGGAAATCCTTTTCTAAGACGCCTTAGTGCAAAAGAAAAGTGCCGAAACGCACGGACATTTAAGGATACGGCAGTGGCGAATGGGAAGTGGGTGTGGAATGAAAGGGCGAAAGTGTACGTGACATCTTCTATCGAAGAGGAATGTTAACCTGCGTTCGTATATGGGAGTATGGATCTCTGAGTGCGAAAAAAACTGGTTGAGTAAAAGTGGAACAGAAAAAACGAACAGAATGGAAATGTACAGTGAGAAAATTCATGCTGCTCCCTATATGTATCTATAAAGAAACATTGTCCTAGTAGAAAAGCGTAAACCAATTTTTAGAAATAGCGCACACCTTGACGTACCCATGTAGTGTTCTTGCTCAAAATGCTGCTCGAATTCTCAACCAAGTATGTTAAGACGCCGCTTAGCTTCTGAGAGTCTGCTAATCGACATTCGAACACGTCTGCGCCATCTTTTGAGCTCTACATTATAATATAACATGTGTAAGTTATAACAATATGTAAGAATAAGCCTGATAATGACTGGATGATCGAGTAAACGGTCCTTTGATGGGTCAGGACCTGTTGTTGTCGTTTCCCTTGATAGGCAAAGCAGCGTTTTGCGTCAGACTTATCGTGAACTTTCATATTTCGGCAAAACTAAATGCCCGTCAACGACCGTTTCTCAAGGTCTCTTCCGCGCAATTCTCTTTCGTTTCGTCTCTCTGTTGCGGATTTTTGCCTCTCACTTTACATACATTGACTGTACATTCTGCTCCAAAGCAGTAATACATTTTATGACCGTTCTAAACGCTTTATTGTAATGGGGAAACGAGGGATATCAGGAAAAGGCAGCAAAGAAAAGTGGTCATAGGGAACTAGCTAAGAACGACTTGACCCTATGCAGCCTATTCTGTGTTGTCTTATTTCCTCTGTTTCCCCCTCTATATGCCTGTACCTTTCAGTTAATCAACGTCTTCAAATGTCTACTGGACCAGTTTGTTCATAAGGACTGCTCTAGGTCTGCCAATACGTACGCTCTGCCAATTGTAAATAAGCAAAAACGACTACGCCATATATATATATATATATATGACACATGACTACCTTGAATTACTACTGTTACCGCAACTATTATCATTACTTACATAATCCACTTGGTTTACTTTCGCATCATGACTGTGCCCAATCAAACAGCCGATTCTCCGAGACGTTCACACGACTTTTCGCTTGCATTATCGATATTATTGGAGCATTTATCGATACGACTGCATCAATGAGGATGGAGAGTCATGTACAAATGTTCTTCACTTACCTACGGACCAAGCGTCAATGGCGTCTGCTAGCATTGATTCACATTGTTTGTTATGTTGCGGTGACAGTCGGATTGTTATTTATGGTCTCAGAGCGAACGAAAGAAATTCATTACTATTATTACCAGGGTTTTCCTTTTTGAATGCTTTACGAAAGGCAGGAACCAATGGCTCGTATCACCGTTTGGCTGTGCCAATGGCTGAAAGCGGGAATGACTCAAATCCTCGATACATCGGTACATGACACGGTGTCTCGACTGAATGTAAACAACGCAAAAGATGCTATGTCTTTCAAATGCAACAGATGACTGTGATTGTATCACATAGCATCTTTGTAGTAACGGTATACATAATGCACATCGACTATCTCGTAGTCGGATCAAAGAAAACATTGCCAACGAGCAGCACGAAGCATCTCGTAAGTATTACGAGTAAGTTACAGTTATTTATTGAATCAGACGGAATGGCATAGCTCCGATACTGAAAACAACTTTGAATAGAAATGGAAGCAATCTTTTCGTAGAAACTTTACAAGGGCAAATTGTACCTTTCGCTAATAAACGGTATACAATACATACGTTTATTATATTTCTCTTTATGGATACGATTTTTCAAAGACGTTCAGAGTGACCACATTCAAATTACGGATGGCAAGCAAATTACGCTCCCATTGTTTGCATAGACAGCTTCAGTTATCTACAATTCTTGGGGAGCACACAGGCTGCTCTGGGGCTTCGCTTGAAGCAAACACAATTCATCTTATAAGTAATAGTTGCTATCTTCCTAAATCTCTATACGGTGCAAGACAAGTAGACAAAACAGAGAGGTTATAACTGCCTCTCTACAATAGTTCATTGCTTTGAGTCAGAGCATTGGTAAAAACGTACAATGATCGTTTTACTTACTGTTATAACAATAAAGCTAGCGTCATTTATAAAACGCGATTGTCCCGCCCTCTATTGTCTGTTCGCTACGTTCTGGTCGACCTGATCAGCTGTGACACATTGTACAAGTTCCCATAAGTATTGTACAGACGTTTATCACCGGGTTCATAACGCGCTGAAGCAGCCGTCGTAAAATGTGCCGGCCATCGAACGAATGGTCCCTGTCTGCCCGAAGCGTCCAGGGAGTAGATCGACATATCTCTCTGCGTAAATATATGCATGCCCGCAGGCAACGCTTGCTTCCTTCAAATATACCTAGAACTCTGCTAAATGCTCTTTTCAAGCTAGGAAAAAAACATGAATCTCCGTAGTGCTAAAGTGAGTGTGTAACGTTCACTGATGCACACATATATGCAACGCCCTGGTGCAATATTGCTTATGATATATGCCATTGTTATCTAGTTTCGAGCAGTTTTCAAATGTTCAGATATACATATGATGTACATACAAATTACTCGCAGTGTAAACTCTTCGACCAGGTTATGGAGGAACCGAGGGACGAGGGAAGTGCTTTCGCCAGTACGTCTACCTTCGAATGACACACAAACTGAATACAGTCT